TTAAAAGTTAAAATTAAGTTAAAACGTTAAGTTAATTTTAATTAAGTTAATTAACTCGTTACTTTTTTTACAAATTAACTTTTAACTTAATAAGTTACTTTTTTTTTAAGATTAACGTGTTAACTTTAAGTTAATTTTATTTAAAATTATCTAAATTAAGTTAATTTTAGTGCAAAGAAAAATGCAAATTATTAATGAGGTTTTTAGTATATTTTATGATTTACTATTTTAATATGAATTTCCTGTAGACGAAAATAATATGAAAAATAACTTTAATAGTCATTATATGGGCTAAATAATATCTACCTACAGTCTACACGTTTATCATTATAAATTGTATTAATAATATTTTCAAAGATAGGTTATACAGATTATCGTTTAAATGGGTTCCCTGAAGTGGATGTCGAATGTTGTCGTGAACGTAATAATATAGTACAAAGTAATTATATTTTTACTGATAATAATTGTTCATGTTGTGCTGAGCCTAGGTTTTAAAACTACACGGTGGCTGCATTTTGTCCTCAGTATAGAAAATATATTTGGGTGGTAGGTACTGCCTGTTTGATTTTTAAAATTTATGTGAATCAATTAAAAATATTGGTATCTTGGCAGTTGGGAGAAAACTATTAAGGTGTTTTTTTTTTTTTTTGATGTACCACTTGGGTAAATTGATTTGAGTATGAGTTCAGGACTAAGATTTATTTTGGAAAAGTAGGTTTTTTGATAGCTAGTTAATACTTTTATGTCTCATTTAAAAAATTTCCCTAGTATTTTTCTTGAGTGTAAAAAAACTAATATTATGTGTGCAATTTTTTATTTTTGCAAAATAGAAAATTTTAACTTTAAACTAAGTTAAGTTACTTTTTTTTCAAAGTTAACTTTTAACTTAACGAGTTAACGTAAAAAATATGATTAACTTTTAATTTAACTTAACTTTATTATTTTAAAATAACTTAACTTAACGAGTTAAAAAAAATCGTTAACTTGCCCAGCCTTGAGTCTTAGTCTCCTTCATACCATCAAAATTCAAAAGCCCTTGAACTAGTATACGCGGCCGTCCCCCTCCATACCATGCCGTGTCATACCTTTCTCCAGCATGTGACCTGCTATCTCGAACGTGCCCAGCCTTCCTCTTCCCCTCTCATCCATGTCTATCACATACATGTTTGACCACCTCCTTCCCCTTTCATCCATGTCTATCACATACCAGACCGCGCGCCCTCCCATCTCATCAATGTAATCACTTACATGCTTGACCTCACCCTCTCTCCTATCAACCGTGACTAACCCATCCATATTCAACTTAGTCTCTAATATACCTTCCATACCCCTGAACTATGAATCCCCCAACCCCTCTCATCCTTATCTATTACATTCGTATCAGACAGTCACCCCCTAATAACCCATCCATACCTATCACATTCATGTACATAGAATATACATGAATATAATAATGTGATGTCACCTTCTTACTATTAAACAATCTACTATACCCTCTTACTATATAGCAAACCCCATCCAGTGACTCCCATGCATATAGCTATTTTATACCCCTTAACTTATAAGTATATTAAAAATATAGTCAAGTTCGTAATAATATACTTAGAACTCACATGCATACCATACGACCATACCTGTACCCCCCTCCCAACTATCCTGGATTACAGTTGCCATACCATACCCCTATCTCACACTTCATACAGCAATCATGTCATTACGACTCCCACACATATAACAATTGTATATTATACTTCTAAGTACACTGAAAATTACCAATAGTTAAACCTTTACACTTGGATGAAGTATCACTTTCATACCATACCACACCTTGAAAATTATACTTCAAATTACTATACTATCTAGTTCTAGTATATCATACATTTATAGCTATATAAATAATATACTAATAAGTAATAATAAATAAATTATATGCCAAGAACCTCCATTTACCCACACCTATAAGGCATTAGGCACACGGAAAAAAAAATTTTGGTTTTAGTAAATAGTTGGATAATTTTCAGTTGGCGCAACGTTTTATTTAGTTACATCAAACAATGTGTTTAGTTGAGAGTACTAAAATGAATTAGTTAAAAAGTTATAGTTGCACCAACTTATTTTATAGTAATTTCAACTATATAAAATAGTAACTCAAATTTAACCATATAAAATGGTTGATGTACAAATATTGAATAGTTACAGCAACTATAATCAATGTTAAAATAATTTTAACTATATAATATAGTTATGCCAACCATACAATTTAGTACAAGTATAGTACAACGGCTGACTAGCCAAGGCCGTACTTTGATGACCCCCCCCCCCACCAACAATATTTTGTTCAGATTACGTACATTTAGAAATTTAACATAAGTTTTTTTTTTAAATAATATTTAATATTATAATAATATTATTATATCGGGAGTGCCTATCTAATAAATAGTGATAACTGATTTGTGAATTGTGACTGCGACTATGAATTGTGTATTGCGGTGCCGCGGCCGCGGTCAGTGTGATAACTGATAAGCATACAAAAGAAAACCATTTAAATATTTTTACATAGGTCAACAAATCAACAAATAATTTAATTTTAAGATTCATGTAACTAACTCACAGCCCACAATGTCACTACAGTCCAAAATAACTAAGAAGCGTATTCATTTTAATTTTTTCAACCTCACGATATATTATTGCTAATAATATAATAATTAAGAGAGAAAAATTATACACGATTACAATTTTTCAGTTAGTACTTATCATATTATATTATACTAATTCTACATCCTTATTTGTTTACATATAAAATAATATCATAATACATTTTAAAAATTTAGATACTAAAAAAACCATTTGTTTAAATAGCTCTCTTTTGCGCCCTAATTTCGATCCATTGTTAGGTAGGTAGGTTTAGGCGTAGGACTTTTAACGTATAGGGTATGGTGGTGGAGGGTTCGAACCCGGGAGAGTGAGATTTCCCGGGATCGGTTTTTTTTTTTTTTTTTTCAGTTTTACAGCCATATAAAATAGTAATTTCAACTATTCACTATAGTTGATTATACTATTCATTATGGTTATACCAACTATTCATTGTAGTTGGTTATACTGTTTATTTTATAGTATTATTCCAACTATATTTTATAGTTATTCCAACTACATTGATTCAACTAATTCATTTTAGTACTCCCAACCATACATTTATTGTGTCACTATATTAACCTGAGATTATGGTTGGCATAACCATTTAAACAGTTGTATCAACTACTATTTTTTTTCCGTGCAGGTTTCCACTATACACGTTTGTCGTGTATACAAAAAATGTTCAGCTATGGCCAACAACACGGTATCTTTGTTAATCATGTGGTAACTGATCCTAACCAACCAATCAAAGTTAAGGATTTGTATGCATGTACACGCATACATGTATAGTGGAAACCCGCCTTTAAAATTATATTTCTGAATGTTCGCCGCGCCGCACCTACTTTTCTATTGCGGTTTGCGGCAACGACTTGCGGTGTGTTGAGTTAGGACAAAGTGACTCAATATTATAAAACAGAAATAACGCTTATGTATAACTCTTATGCTTATGTAAATGCGCTACGCGCTTAATAATTATAATAGGTAACAACAACTTAGGTACATCAAACAAGATATTATAAAATACTAACAGACAGGGCGCCCTAAAACAAACAATACACTTAAATCAATTACAACGTTATGTTAAGTCTTTTGACCTGGTCCGCCGTCGATGATCGGTCTACTTGATGGATGTTGATGGATGGGTAACAAGCCAGCGGCGGCACACAATGAACGGCAACAAGCCAGCGGTGGCACGCAATAAACGGCAATAAGCCAGCGGCGGCACGCAAAGGTATAAACGGCGGCAAGCAATAGTATAAGCGGCGGCACGCAATAGTATAAGCGGCGGCACGCAATGAACGGCACCAAGCCAGCGGCGGCACACAATAAACGGCAACAAGCCAGCGGCGGCACGCAAAGGTATAAGCGGCGGCACGAAATGAACGGCACCAAGCCAGTGGTGGCACACAATAAACGGCAACAAGCTAGCGGCGGCACGCAATGATACACCGGTGACACAAATCACGAAGTTTAACAACGCGACGACTTCGAAACAGAAACGCGTCGGTTGTAGGTACACGTGGTTTGGTCTCCAAAACCCAGTGAAACGCGGCGAGCAAACGCAACGATGCGTCGGGCTCGACCGCCTGGAAAAGACACATGAGACACGACTGAGAGGCGGCACAGCCTACGGTGGCGAACGGCCCGGCGCTGGACGGCCGATGAGGGGGTAAGCCACCTCGTGAGCTTCGGCATCCGAGGCGCAGCTTTGGGGACATATGCCGAAACTACGGTGGCGAGAAAATGCGTCCGTGTTCGAACAATTTCAATCTACAATACCAGTATATCATACCTCCAAACATACATACATTGATAGTTACATAAATAGTAGGTATTTATAATACATAATAAATAATTTACTAATATACCACCATTACCCACACCAAGAAAATTATACTTCAAGCTGCTATACTCTATAGTATATAATACCTCCAAGCATATATACATTGATAGTCAGATAAATAGTATACATGCATAATAAATAATATACTAAAGGCTGATTTACACGATGCCAGTCGGCGTACCAGTCGAAGACGCCAGTTACTGAATGCCAGCGGCTGGCAACGTCTAAACATAATCTGCATTCTGCCAGCAACTGGAGAATGCCAGTGGACACTGGCGTGCCAGCAGATGGCATTGCCAGTAAAACAAATTATTTTGTTTTACTGGCTAGACAGCTTCCCCCCTCCACTACATCACCACAACGACTACAGCTAATTGGCATCGTGTAAACAACAACAGTCACGCGCCAACTACTGGATTATAACAGTGATATAATATTTTGTTTATCAATGATAACAGTACATCGTTCACATGTGTGAAACTGTGATTTTGAAATAAAACTTAAAAGTAAAGTGAAAATCGAAATGGCTAACCGTTGGAGTGAAGAAACCACATTAAAATTCGTGCAATTATACCGCGAGCACGAAAATCTGTGGAACATGTTTATTCCGGAGTATCGGAATCGTGATGCAAGGAGTTCATCTATGGAAGCTATCGCGTCCGAATTAAATATAACAATTAAAGAGGTACCCAAAAAAATTAAGGCTCTACGTTCAACATATTATTTAGAGTTGGCTAAAATAGAAAAAAGTAAAGCCAGCGGTTCAGGCACTAATCTTGTGTACAAGCCTTTATTGCCGTGGTTCGATGATATGAATCATATTATGAAAACAGCAACTGTCAAAGAAAAGCAGACGTACAGTAATTTTGTAAGTAAAATCATAATTTATTAATTAGGCATTATTCATTCGTTTATTAAAAAAAAACTATTTGATAATTAATATCAATGTAAATGTGTATATTTATATAAAAAAAAGTGATTGATAATTAATTACTTAATCATTCTAATAATTATTTAATCATTCTGTCTTGCCATTCCACTGACCACTCTCCATTAAAATAATCCTTGTATCTGTCTCTCACTTGTTGTGCGATTTTCTTTGGTCTGTTGTTAATTCGTGTCCGTAACATACTTGGCAGCTGAGACAATTCAGATCTCCACTCCCCTTGTATTATTGTAGCATTGACAATGTCTTCGTAGTCATAACAGCTTGGTGGTGTGTAAGTAGTAGGTGAAGTTAAGCGTAACCAGTTATGTATGGCACATGCAGCTTTTACTATTTTTATAGTTGTTGGAACTTTTACTGCCATATTTTGTTGAAAAATACGAAACCGGCTGGCCAATATACCAAAACCGTTTTCCACAATTCTTCGTGCTCTACTGGTTCTGTAGTTATATATTTTTTCTTCTTTAGTCAGATTTACCTTTGAATAGGGTTTCATAAGGTAAGTTTTTAAGGGAAAGGCATCATCTCCTACCAGTACTCCTCCTTTTGGTAGTAACGAATCATTTTCTAGTAAATGATATAAATCACAGTACTGGAAAACACCACCATCAGCATTTCGCCCATAAGATCCGACATCAATGTATCTGAAACAATATAAACAATATATATCCATCACCTACACTATGAAAATTATACCTCAAACTTAAATATCAGACATCAGTTTACCATACCCTCAGCATACACTGTTGCGCCGTCAGCACTTACGTTGACAGCAGTTTACTGACGACTCGAGGGTGTGTGGGAGCAAAATGATGAAGGTCCGAATATAGTGTGCCAAAATATAATATATATAATAACTAATAAAGATGCAATGCCGAAGATGTCTCTTCAAACAACTGCCACAATAATAATATTAAAACAGTGTGATATCAAATAATTATATGGTACATAACGGGCACACACAGGTGCACAATATACAAATAAAATAGACAAAAAAATACAACAATTATAACATGTATTAACGATACCGCAGGTCACCGTTTGTGGACGTCGGGATCCCACGACGATTTTCGTTATGTCCTCAAAATGACATGTACCTGACAAAGACAGCTGGGCAGGTGTGAGATCACTGACCTCTCGCAAGATGCGTCACAACGACGCGACGTAGAACTGACGAACGCCCACGGTCACGGCGAGCAATACCGGACGGCGGTGCAAAAGGGACCACACGCGTGCGAAGAACACGACACGGTTTTACGGGCGGCACAAAAGGCAAGCACCCAAAAGGACTCAACCACGAGGTTTTGTGGTCAGCGCACACGAACAAAAAAACGGGCTTGAGTCGGAACGGAACGGAACGGACGGCCCGACCGTAGGTAAAAGACAACGACGGCCGAGCTACGGACAACCGGTGTCCAGCGAAGCCGGTCGCCAAAAGTTCGCGCAAGCGCACTTCGGCGTCGGCACGTCAGCGGGATGACAACATGTGTCAAACGAACGCACTGTTCGTAATAGGCGCGAAAAGGCTCAAGTTCGAACATACACACTTTGATAGCTAGATAAATAGTATAGGTATGTACATAATAAATAAAATACTAGTATTCAATTGTAAATAGATAAATAATATATCTTCATTACCCATACTTTGAAAATTATACTTTAAACTACTTTACGAGTATATTATACCTTCAAACATACATCCTACATTGATATCTTCATAAATAGTATATATAATAAATAATATGTTAATATACCTCCATGACCTATATAGACCGGACTGGACTATTCGAATTAAACAATTTTTCATCGATTAACCGGTTTATTTGAGTCATTTTTTATAAGTATTCAGGTACTCACCGGCCATTAATCGATTATTTTATAATCTGATACATTATTAGAATATAATACATAGTTGACAGTATTGACACATGTCGTATGCAGAATATTCTCATACCTACATACAATTATACAAATGAGTAATGTACATGCTTAAGCTTTCATATAGGTGCTCATACATAATAAATAATAGGTATACTACTATTTAACTACCAGATACATATCTAGGATATATAATAAATACCTATATGATGTATACATACAGAGGTGTACATAGTCTTGTAAAGTATTCGAATACAAGTATTTGAATACTTGTATTTAAATACTTTTTGTAGTATTTATATGGTATTCTAAATACAATTTTTTTATGTATTTTTTAAGTATTTCGAATACTTTTTAAAAATATTTTTACCAAAATTTAAATAAGTGTATTAAAATACTATGAAGTCTGTTTTATTAATTTTTATTTTTTATTTTTCAAAAACATTTGACATCAATAAAAATAATATAATTTTCGTTGAAAACTAATATTATGTTTTTGCATAGTAAACGTAAGATATCTAATAACAATGTTGAAAATTTAAAAAATACCACATTAAATTTTATATAGTTTCTGTATTGGAATTTTTTAAGAAAACTGAAAATGTAATAATTTTAAAGTTCCATATTAATAGTAAGTAGTAACATAATAGGTACCCACACTGGTGTACAAAATACATATATATTATATAGCATAAAATTAAAAAAAATACTTGTATTTGTATTCAAATCCTTTGTGAGTATTCGTAAAATCCATTTTTATAATAGTATTTTAAAAGTATTTTTAATACTGTTTTATTCGAATACAAAACTGGAGGTGTAGCAGGATAGGTATTTTTCATAGGCTTCCCTACTATTTCATCCATCATACAGTATCAATACACCGATAAATCTGGACACTCCTATATTGTCTACGACTTTCAGTCAAAGTTATCACTAGGGCTCGGAAGTTGATGACCTTAAAAATATCAAAAAATGACCTAAAAAAATTACAAATATTTGTTTTAAATTTATAAAAATACATTTTTTTAATATTTTACAGTAAAATGGGAAAACTTTGATAAATTTGTACCGTTTAATTACAATTTTACTTTTTTTTTTATGGATAACTTCTGTAGTATTAACGATAAAATTCCAAAAATTAAATCTTAGTTATAGCTAAATATCCTCAATTGTTTAACATTTAAATTTTTAAATTTCCCATGTTATCTTCTGAGATATTAATCTTTTTAAAATTCTATCAAAGTTACACCACGTTATGGGCAACTTTGATACCAGCATTTCATAATGTGTTATCAAAGTTACCCCAGTTTATGAAAAAAATATTAAATTGTCGTGGTACTATGGTGAATAAAAATATCATATTATCAAAGTTATCTCATTCTACGGTACTCTATTTTACTATAAAATTCTATATACATTTATTTTGATTTAGCTTTGGCTTACAAATTTCTCAAAATATGACATAAAAATGACAAATAATGTCCTTAAAAATGAAATAAAAAATATTTGTTTGAAAACGACGCGACGACTGTAATCGGCAAGATAAAATCGGATACTAATCGATTATTAGGAAAAAATAATAAAATTTAGGTATAATAATATTCACTACAACACGACAACGATAAAATGTAATCGGCGAGATAAAATAGGATAGGTACTAATCTTAGTCCGTGGTTATTTCCAAGTTTTAAGTTATAGGCATAGACAAGAAGCTATAAGAAGTGAACTAGTGTGAAATCAGTAAAAATGACTAAAAATGTCGAAAAATGTCAAAAAATGACTTAAAAGTAAAAAATGCATAAAAATGCAAAATAAAATTTAGTTTTTCAGATTCACATGCTAATGAAACGCATTTGTGGCCAGGAGAGTATCGTCTTAAAAGTTCCAAAAAAAAAAAAAAAAATTCCTCGACTTCCGAGCACTAGTTATCACTAAACTATAGTCCACCCCTTAAAGAAACTCGGAGACGGAATATCTATTCCTTAGGTACCTTATACATCATACATAGCTGAACTTCGTGTTTTTTATAGAATTTTTACTGTGATACGACTTTTCTATAACTTAGTTATAGGTATTAATATATTATGAGATATGAAAAATATATATTTATCATATACATACTTTACCTAACTGTATGGTGAAGGTGGAATCGTATTATATCCTAACCCAACTAAGTCACAGAGCCATGCTATTATTTGATTTTCTATATAATATAACGACAATAAACTATTTAAATATGATCTGATTTTATAATTTTAATACATATTATATTAACCGAGGGTAATGACTATCGGCTATATGTTTCCTAATATCATATTAGAAATAGTAATATGACTTGAAACATAATATATAAATATAATATATTATAGAACTATAAAATGTGATTGATTACACAGCATATACCTATTATATAGTAAAATCATATTAAGATACTTAGTAAATATGCAAATACCTAATAAATATGCGTTCTATACATTTAATCAGTATACATTACACACGTATACCACCTAAGCAACTATTACATAATATATTTAAATACAATCCAAAATCATTGGAGAATAACCCTCCAAGTCTTATACTTTATGTTATGTTACATGTCTATGTCTGTAAACTTGAATTTATTATAAAATAATTAGTTATATTGTTATATTCCTATAGGAAATATATTCATACTATAGTTATACTAAAGTCATACTATAGTATACTATAATTCTAAGTTTATCAATAATTTAAAGTATTGTTTTTATTTGATGAAATGATATTAAGTACCTACCTATAATATTATATTATATTATACATATTAAACTATTAGGATTGTATTAGTAGTATATCATTTTATGATAGATTGTTTTAATGTTTATTTAAGATTTTACGATGAGGACCGGTGGGGGGTATCGGTTTCACGTATAATTAAGAGACATAGTTTGCTAAATACATCATTAGTTAATCGTTCCTCAAGTTTCCGTCACATGAACCTATTATTACTTTCACCACGGTAAAATGTTTATGAAAAATAGAAAAATCTTCAAGTGCGAAAGCCACCGTCGTTAATCAATTTCACGACGTATGAACTGGATTTCGATGATCGTAAGTTTTTAAGTGTGGGTATCCTCGCCAGTTCTGAATTCAACCTCGCGGTAGGGGGGTATAATGGGGAGGGTTTCGGTATTACGATTCGTCTACTAACAGCCAAGGGAAATATAGATATTAGATATGAGTTGCTAAATCGGATATACTCGATGATGGGTGAAATATTATCCATAATACCTGAGTCACACCCTTCACCCTCAATACGACAGCCTTTGAAGCGGGCTCGTGGAATTAGTGATTTCATGTCAATAGGAGATTCAACAGATGGAGTGGACTCTATATTACCCACCTCGATAATGCTAATGACAGACATCGATAATGGAGCGAGCGGAAATGGTGTGGTTAAAGCACGGACTGTCGTTAGAAAAAAATGGAGTAAGGGGTGTGACGTGATCTCCATCAAGTCTAGAACACAGCCCGAGTGCTGTGTGTTACTGAATCGTGAAGATTTACTAACCCTTCAAAAGTTGAAGTATTGTATACGTGACTCCGTCACACAAAAACTCTGATTACTCTACCGGCGATCGTAAAGCAAGCGAGCTTTATGGGGAGATATCTGGAAACAACTTATGGACGTAACCCGACACTGTATGAGGAGACCAAGTCATGCATCGAGAATATGTACGAGGAATTCATACATTCAATCGATCAGGGTGAAGGATTTAGTGATCCGGGGTATGCCAATGAGATAAAGACGATGTCAGCAGGCACATTAGCTCGCCTATTGTATGGGCAGGACGTGTGCGGGCGATATGCCATGGGTAGCGAATGGACCGCACCACCGTCGACGTACCTTATTGAATCAATATGTGGTATGATATATTATACATTTATAGTAATATATCTATTCAAAAATATCTATTTACGAAATAATATTTATTTAATTACCCTCCTTACATTTCTGAGGCACTCACAGCAGTAGTTATGGTAAATGATTATGTTACTTCGTATTCACCGCCTGCAGCTCAGTCATCTACAGAGATCGGAGAACCAGGGTGTTCTAGCATGACATCACCACGGAGACCGATGTCACCCTCGTCATTCCAGCAGGCTACGATTTCTATTAACTCGTTGTATCGATATAATTTAAAAAATTTGTGTATAGCTTTAAAAAGTAAATATAATATATATATATATATATATATATATATATATATATATATATTAATATATATATGTATGTATATATTTATACTCAGACTTGACTACTATTAATATTCACAGTGAAAATTATAGTGGTATTATTATAAATATTTTTAATTTTATTTTTCTTTACAAGAGTATCTATAATATCAGAACAATATCACAACGAATTATAAAAATCAGTTTTTATAAAAATTAGGTTTACTACTATCAATCAATTTAATTATACATAATAATAGTAATAAACAATTTATCCGGTTAAAAATAGCGATTGAATTTATCAAGGCATAGATACTGTGAGGTGGGTGAAATAGTAGACTATCCTTAGTTTATAATACCTCTATAATAATTAATATGTAAGTACATATTATATAGTATATATAATTATTTTCCAGCTATTTACGATTGTATGTGGAAAGGTTAATAAAAAGTTATTGAATTGATAGTGATTGAATCATGTTATTACTCTATTTTGTCACTTATCATTCAAAACACTTCAAACTCTAACACTCTGTACCTATGTGGGATCACTACAATAAGGACAAAACAAAATTTTCACAGCAGCCAGTTTTTTAGTCTTAAGCCACATCTATAGGAAGGTATATGCGTTGTGTTCCATTCAAACGAATGCATTCACTTTTGTATGTATTTGGGTCATTTGAACATCCAGGTATATACTTATATAAGTTGTACTAAGTTGTATTCTTAAAAATTTTAATGGACATAAATAGTTTTAAATTTTTCTTTTTATTATTCTAATTCGAAATGCCTGTTTTCAAAATTATTATAGTAGTGAAACTCAAGTTAGTAGGTACGTTGGAACGCCTCTAAAAAGCGGTAGTGTGGAATCCTATTAACCCCTCCCATTGGAAATATCTGTGTAGGCCACTGTCAGCCCGAGTAACCAATAGCAACCATTTTATACAGAAAAAGTACTAAACTTTACTAGTTATTTCTTATTTTTACTATTACTAATACAATGTGTATAATGTAAAAATGGTATCTAATGGGAAGTATGAAAGTAATATTGTTTTATAATGTGGTTTTTTTGTGTAGGTATGTCATTACTCAATGGCTTATAAAATGCTTCAATCTTCAACTTCAATATATTTTGCAGTAGCAAAGATGATGTAGTTTGTACTAATAGTACTTTAAGGGAGTAAAAAGTAAGAAATCCCTAGTACCTACTAATAATAATTAGGAAAAACAAAAAACAATTAGGGGAAAACTGGAAATTTTATGCAAACCCAGTTTTTGACAAAATCTATTTTATTTTGTTACTATTGGAATAATTAAAAAATGAATGACCGCAGAAACTTAAAATGTTTACAAAATAACCATATTAAATAGTAGGTACCTATGTATTTACTAAACTATAAAAATAACATAATTTTCAAAATATTTTATTAATTTAAGATATTTGAAATTGATTGATATTTAACATTGATTACCTATATTTATTATATTATTATACTAAATTATAATTATTTTAATATTTTATAAACAAAATATTTAATAAAGCGTACACAATTATTACATTGTTTTATAAACATATAAATATAAAGGTATACTTGTATTTTTGTTTAACTATCTTATTTTTTTAATTTGTCTCGTAAGGCCCTTTCTTGTTTCTTTTAAAATTACAGTTTGTTTATGAAAATACTTCGGTTTTCTTAATCCCCACCTTTTCTTGTTAACATATTATCTTAATTTATACTAAACATACACTGACAACAAGATGGTAATAAAAAATAATCATAGGAAAATTGATATGGACCTTGAACGGACAATAATCTTTTGTAGATATATTTTTGTACACATCTTGAGACGTATCCATATGGTAAAGTATCATCAAATCGACACGGATCTCGAAAATCTCTAAAAATAAATAGTTAAATTAATTCAAAATCTTAAACATTGTTACTATGATACTAACATGCATTTCTCCACTACAATTCCTTGTTTAATGAAAGTGTCACTGGCATTAATTGCTGGAGCTTGTACAATATAGCGCCATTCGTTTTTTGACGTAAGACCGGCTTCTGGATATATTACTTCTGACTAGAAAATATTTCAAGTTAAATACAAATTTAATGTTAAATTTTACAGTTATAAACTTTGTAAAATAATAGTACAAGATGTTTAAAATTCATACAAATATATTTAAAGTTTAGACTTGAGGAAATCCATTTTATACATGGAAAATGTATGTAATTGTCTATCTCTTTGCCAAATAGTGGAAATTATATGGTAATGTTAGGCTATATTATAGGTATAAGTATTGAGTATTAGTCAAATAAATCAGAATGAATAATGGACAGGTGGAAGGGCGTAGGACGTTTGCGCATCGCTATTGTTATGAATGACCTTTTTTATAGGCCGTTTGCGCAACACTATTGTTATAAAAGGCATAGGGTGTTTTCCGATCGCTATTGTTACAAAAAACCTTTATATGGGCCGTTTGCGAATCGCTATTGTTAAAAAGGCATAGGGTGTTTTCCATAGCTATTGTTACAAATAACCTTTTTATAGGCCAATTGCGCATTGCAAATTACGTATACCAGGTTTTATTTACACTTACAAAAATAATCGTCAATATTCATAATTCATATTTAAAGAAATTACAAAATTAATATTCACATTTACCAAAAAATAAATAAATGTATTTTGCATTCTGGAAAAACAAACTTAATTTCAATATGGGCACTTATTTCAAAATCGGCTCTCATTAAATTAGGCATGAACGACAAATTAAATGAACCACACAACTCCTTTAAAAAGTTCCACATCTAAGTATAACATTCCGTACTTGTATAACTTATCTGCAGTTATACATATTATCTCACCAATATATCCGGTCATGTCACTAATAGGTAGATAGGTAATAGGTAGTAGGTACCTTTCTATTGTTAAAATTTGCGATGCGCAAACGACCAACCAAATTTCTTACCTTAGGTACTAATGATGCGCAAACGACAAACTCCGAGGTGGAAAATAAGTGAAAAATAACTAATATGTAATTACACTGTTTCTGATGGGAACAATCTATGTCATGTTTTTATTTATGATTGATAAACACAATAATAATATGGTGACCTAGATTACATAGATCAACTTGATAAGACGCTATTCCAAGAAATAAGAAATTAATATAACCTAGGCAGCTGGCAGGCTATTACTTGGGTCTAGAAGACCCAATAATGCAGGTACAGGTATGGACGTTTATATAAATAAAAAATAAAAAGGGGCTCTGCTGAACAGAAGGTTACAAGACGTACGTTTCTCCAGCCCCCCCCATATCGAATTTCAAAATTTTTTTTGGTTAAATATTTAGCGTGCAATTAGCGTAAATTGGCGTGACTGGTTTTGGAATTTGCTTGGCACTAGGTCAAGTTTAAAAATGTAAACAAAGTGGGGGGGCTGTAGAAACGTTTCTACAGCCCCTCCTCATCCGAATTTGGAATTTTAAGGACTTTTTTATGTCTCAATATTTAGCGTGTAATTGGCGTGAATTTGCGTGACCTATTTCGAAACCGTAAACCCAAAGCCCCAAGTACTGTGGGCTTTACCCCTTTATTGCCATTTCCCCAGCCCCCCTCAAACAGCAAATAAATTTTTTTTCGAATTTTTTTCAACGCCAATATTTAGCGTGCAATTGGCGTGAATTTGCGTGACCTATTTCGAAACCGTAAACCCAAAGCCCCAAGTACTGTGGGCTTTACCCCTTTATTGCCATTTCCCCAGCCCCCCTCAAACAGCAAATAAATTTTTTTTCGAATTTTTTTCAACGCCAATATTTAGCGTGCAATTGGCGTGAATTTGCGTGACCTATTTCGAAACCGTAAACCCAAAGCCCCAAGTACTGTGGGCTTTACCCCTTTATTGCCATTTCCCCAGCCCCCCTCAAACAGCAAATAAATTTTTTTTCGAATTTTCTTCAACGCCAACATTTAGCGTGCAATTGGTGAGACCTATTTCGAAACCCTGCATTCAAAACACCAAGTACCATGGGAGTTTTTTAGACATTTCTCCAGCCCCCCCCCCCCCCCCACAATGAAAATAAATTTTTTTCGAATTTTTTTCAACGTCAATATTTATCGTGCGATTAGCGTGAATTTGCATGACCTATTCGGAAATCATTAACCGAAAGCCGTGGGCTTTGCAAATACGAAATACGAAGAACATGGAAAATAATTTACGAAAATTATAAAATACCTATATAGTATATACTACGGGTGGGTCGAACTGTTCGAAGTTCGAAAAATCGAACCCAGTTTTAAAAAAACTGAACCGAACCGAACACGAACAAAAAAGTTCGAAAATCAAAATAGTTCGAACTCAAAAAATTTACCAACAGCAAAAATTCTAACATGTCAAACGTTTCGAACTAAAAATGTTCTCGATTTTCATTTTATTTTTAGTTTTCCTATTGTCTATAATCTATAATCTATATAGTTATATACTTATATAGTATATACAATATTCTATATCATTATTTACTATGTATTTAAATTTTAAATATTACAAATGTAAAATTAAAACCACGATATTGTCCGATATTATTATTTATAGACTTGGATAAATTATTAATTTGGTTTTGTTGTTTTGCACTATTATATAAATTATAAATTATATATATATTTATAATATATAATTTATATAACCGAAGTTTGTAACACGCTGAACAATATTAAAAGCTAATATAAATATTGATTATAGGTAGATATTCATAAAATTAAAATATCTTTATCATTATTATTTATAACCATTTGGCATTTATATTTTTATAACATAGGTCCTGAGTCCTACACTCCTACAGTCCTACTGGCTACTACTTACTCATTAATCGTTAATTCCAAATAATAGTTATCAGTGTTATTGGTTAGTGGTTACTTATTAGTGACTAATTGACAGTGTACGAATTATTGTACGACATACGACATACGTTTAATGTTTATTATTATTATTTATTAGGTCTTAACTCTTAATTCTTAATAGTGTTAATTCTGTAATAGTTAATATCAAATATTATATTATTATTTAATTTTGAAAATTTTCATTATTCAGTGATATAGGTAAAAGAAAATAAATACATAATTTAAAACATATTAAAAGAAACATAAAATAAAATAGTTTATTTTTTAAATAAGTAAACTTCATTAGAACTTGAAACGTTATCGTCTGTCTTAATCATACAAACCAGCTTATATATTTTTAAAAAAGAAAAAAGAATAAATGTCCTAATCTTTTTGGATTTTTTTAAACTCAGTTAAAACATTTTAAAAATAAACAAAAAATAAGATGTAAATAAATAATTAATAAATATTAAATAAAAAATATGAATAATATTATTAATTTTCAACATTTTTTTTTGTCCATTAAAATAAATTATAGGTATAGATAGATATATTATAGTACATACCTAGTATGTACTATGTAGTATTACTACATAGGTACATAGATAACTAGAATTTGATCAAGATAAAGATAAATATAATTGAGCTGAAAACTATCCACATAAAATAAAAGATAAGTAATTATTATCTACTGATCTAGATATTTCCCAACACTGAGCATACGGCTTTAAAGTATAAAGTAAAAACTATAAGGCTTTCATTTGCCTTAGTATTCATTGCCAGTATTGTTTATATATGTAATATATATTTATTATGATCTAATAATAATTCCATTAATAAAACAAAATCATTATAATCAGATGATTTTTCCTGTCAAAATTCGAGAAATTTAAACCGTTGCTACTCAGGGTCGAAGACTGAATTAAACATTATTCAACCGTTTTAATTCATATGAATATTGTGTGTAATAAAACCTTAAATCGCTTATTTGTACCTACGTATTCGGTGTATTACCATTTTTAGTACCAATAACTTTATAGGTGCCTACATAATGTGCTCAATTATGTATCCATACTGCACTTTTTAAATGTTATTTATTCAAAGAAAATTAGTGATCTGACCCTTATTATATTGTATATAATTAACAAAATTGATCACAGAGATATTATGCTATGAATGAAGATACATTGGAATTTCTGTAAAAAATAAAATGAAATTTTTACTATATTATTATATACTAATATATAGAATCTATAGCTATAGAAAGTATAGCCTTATCATTTTTTGATTTTCGGGTGCCAACCGAAATTAAAATTAAAATGGTGGAAGCACTTAAATCAACCCAGAACAATGATGATACAATTAAAAAAATTGTTTTGAGTAAAGAGGGTATAAAAACATTTATAAAAAAAGAATTACATGAATTTGTATCACCAGAAACAGTCAACTTTTTTTTAAGATTTAAAATTTCAGCTGACTTCATAGATTTTCACCCGGATAATTGGATGGAAAGAGAAGACTATAAAAAAGGAATTAATATTTTAACAGAGTTATCAGTCATAAATGATGTTGCAGAAAGAGGCGTTAAGTTAATTCAAGAATACAATAGTATACTGACGAAAGATGAAAATCAAAAACAATTTCTATTACAAGTTGTAAATGATTATAGAACAAATTACCCTGACTGTAAAAAAAATAAATTAATTCGTTCGTAATTAATAAATATTTTATTTGAATGTAACGTATCTAATTTTCACATTGTATTACTCCATTGAACCACTTTCTATTTATTTTTAATGACACCAATATTTATGTACTTGTGTAAATAAATGTATTTTTTTTTTAAGATTAATTTTTCCACAGAAATTAATAGATTTACGAGAAATTTTGTCGGAACGTTTTTTATAGAGAGTACCTGAATCTACAATTTAGGTTCTATAAAATTTTATGCTAAATGCAATATATAATGAATTAAATCAGAATAACCCTAAAACTACCCTATTTGATGAATATTCAACCCTCTTGCGGCACCTGAAGGGGATTATTAATCATCCCCAAATCTTACCCACATAACTTTTGTATGGTAATGAAAAAATTGGGAGGGTGAGAAATCAAAAATATTTAACTTTCCTTACCCCCCTACTATATAAGGGCCACCCTAATATAGATACATGCATTATGCAGAAATGTATGTATTAAATATAATACATAATAAATTATTATATAAAATATAGTTTTATATAATAAATATATTTATTTTATATATATTATTATACTCATTTAGTCATAAATAATATGTATATAGCTATATACTTAAGCTATATGCTATACGTAAATAAATAGCTATGTGTAAATAAATATATTAATATAGGTAGCATTATATACAATTAAATCTAGATTGTAGACTGTGTATGAATAGAAAAAAAAATTTATTTGCTGTTTGGGGGGGGGGCTGGGGAAATGGCAATAAAGGGGTAAAGCCCACAGTACTTGGGGCTTTGGGTTTACGGTTTCGAAATAGGTCACGCAAATTCACGCCAATTGCACGCTAAATATTGGCGTTGAAAAAAATTCGAAAAAAAATTTATTTGCTGTTTGAGGGGGGCTGGGGAAATGGCAATAAAGGGGTAAAGCCCACAGTACTTGGGGCTTTGGGTTTACGGTTTCGAAATAGGTCACGCAAATTCACGCCAATTGCACGCTAAATATTGGCGTTGAAAAAAATTCGAAAAAAAATTTATTTGCTGTTTGAGGGGGGCTGGGGAAATGGCAATAAAGGGGTAAAGCCCACAGTACTTGGGGCTTTGGGTTTACGGTTTCGAAATAGGTCACGCAAATTCACGCCAATTACACGCTAAATATTGAGACATAAAAAAGTCCTTAAAATTCAAAATTCGGATGAGGAGGGGCTGTAGAAACGTTTCTACAGCCCCCCCCCCACTTTGTTTACATTTTTAAACTTGACCTAGTGCCAAGCAAATTCCAAAACCAGTCACGCCAATTCACGCTAATTGCACGCTAAATATTTAACCAAAAAAAATTTTGAAATTCGATATGGGGGGGGGGCTGGAGAAACGTACGTGGTTACAAGTGGGTAACTGTATAATGGATGGTATTAAATTTGAATGCAATGATATAATATCATTGTATAAGAAAAACGATTCTGAGCGGAGCCTGTATGTTAGTCTACGTATAAGACATACGTATTATATACTTATCTATGGTATTAAAAAAATTGACCTATAATAGGTACCTATAATAAATTCCAAATTAACCATAGCACAATATCCATTAGGTACTTATAACGCATTATACATTAACAACGAACCCTGATACTATCATAGATATATAATAGTGTACCTACTTTAGACGTTTCAAATACTCACGAATAATATTATACAACCACAACAAAATAACTAAAATAGTTATTCTAGGTTTTTTTATGTAATTTCGTCCAAATTTGAACTTAAAATGACTATAAAAATAAACTGTCCTTGTGTATTTTTTTAGATTTTTTGGTAACAGAATTAACTACGTACGTGGAATCTTTTTATAAATTTTCAATCCTTAGATATAAAAATTGAACATTTTATAAATTTATAACTACAAAATAATTATTCAATTTTAAATTTAATAATTTTGGTCAAAATTCGATCTTTAAATGCTTATAAAAAAAAATTGTGCCTATGTATTTTTAATATTTTTCAACTGATATTGTAACAATATATCTGGAGCCTTGTATTACATTTTTACACTTTTTGGCCCAACAGATAAAACTTTATTGATATTTATTGAATATCATAGTTGGCTATACCTCTATACGACTATAATATAGCCTATAGATACATATTATGGCCATAATGTAAGAAATAAGACATTTATTGACGAAACATGTTGGAACTTTAATTGTTTACTGATTATAAATTGAAAATTGTTTTATAAGTACTTTTGTAGCATTTAAATGGCATTATTGTACGCACTCGTATTTATAAGAAATATCACTATGTGGATAATATTAATGTTAGTAGATAGGTAGGAAGGTACTTACTCTTGACTGACAGAATGGTTGAAGTTCAACATCTGATAATATTCTTGTTTCAAAATCATTTACCTAAATTAATATAATTGCAATTATATAATTTAAAAATTAGATAGGTATCATAATATAAAATATTGTTTATAGGTACCTCATCCTTAGCATATTCATCATAATGAGGAGTTGACATAAACTTGCTGGTTCTAAAAATCTTGTATACATCTTCTCTATAAATAGAAAAATAATAATTTGAGATGAATTAGTTTTTAGGTTGGAAATTTTATTCAGTGTTAGGTACCTTGGATAATTTTCAACTTTGATGCAAAAAGTTTCATTCAAAGAGCATTTCTCAATTACGGTGTTTTCAGGTATAAATTTATTGATTTTAGTTTTCTCATCGGTCGAAATTGGAAAAACAACTGATGAAGAGTTTGTCAAATTAGCTGTTGGTAAAACTATATCAGCAGTCATATTTTTAATACCAGTAACAGAATCATTTCTAAAAATATGTAATAATTTTAAAGGTCAGTGGATTTGCAATGAAATTTAACAAATTTTTATATAAATAGGTAATAGGTTTACTAACTATAAATAAAAATCTAAAATGTTGTTCCACGCTTGCAACTTGTATTATTAATTATGAGCACAATATTTGAAAAATACATACAACTCTACAAATATTATAGCAATAAGAAAAACATTACATTTTTTAATTTAGATTGTTTAATTTAAAATGAATTTTTATACTTATATTATAAAGTAAGGAAACCTAACTAGGAATTATCGGTCAACTTACTTTTGATCTTCCTTATAACTTAAAGTCGTCGTTAGAGTTATATTATCTTGATTAACGGAACTTGTACTTTCGGGATAATCCCTTGTAGAAGACCATGGATAAATATTGAATCTGTGTAATATATAAGTGTGTTGTGCTGTGGAATTAGGCCACTGAAACTATAAAATTACATTTACTTAAAAAGAACACCCTTTAACTCCCTAAACCTAAGGTGTTTAGTATATAGACTATAGGCAATTTAAATGATCTTTGAAAATAATTTAAATTAAAAATTAAAAATATATTTGTATGGGTATTAATTTAAAGTAGGTATTTTAAGAGTCGTCTTGTATCGATGATACTCGAATTGGCTCCCATGCATATATAAATTAATGATTATTAATTAATATACCGATAGTTGTCTACTATCAATTATTATAGGAATTTTCATAATGTTCAAAATATTATTTTTAAGACATAGGTACAGATCACAGATCAAATTAATTTGTTCAATGCAATAATTTTTTTGATCTATCAATCAAAGATTAGTCCATCCTCTCCAATTCAACATAGTCAGTTTCGTTTGCCCAACCGTTACCATAAATAACACGTTTATACTTGTATAGTTGTATCATATTATAAATATGAACGTTATTAGTAAAAAAGGCAATTTTATTTGTGTTTGTAATTGAAATAATGCTTCTATTTTAACTTCAGGATCTTTTCCGGTGGGGAAGTGAATTTAGGTATTTGAAGAGGTAAAATTTTATAACTTTAACTTTTCAGTAGCTTAAAAAATGCCGGGAAATAAAAATTAGGAATAAACGGGAATTTTCCGATTTTGGTGTACCTCTAAAAAAAAATACCGTTGATACATGAAATGTTCACTGAATGTTTATATTAGTATTTTCTATATACCATAACATTTTCAAAATATTTTAACTCATGTTGAACTTTTTATAGGCATATGAAATATTCGAATAGTATTAGTTTTTTTTTAATGTCGATAAAATATTTACTCTCGGTTAAAAAACTTAAAACTGTTAAAAAACTTGAGCGTAAATCCACAATAGTGTTTTATAAGCGTCTGAAGACAAAATATAATAATATACTTTAGAAGTTTCAAGTACCCACGAATAATATTTTGAAACTACAACACAAAACTAAAAATTTAGGGCTTGAAACCGATATTGGATACCGGTTAAAACCGAAATCGATATTAAAACCGAAATAAAAATCAGAAAAAATAAATATCAGTAACCGAAACCCAATTCAAAATCAAAATTATTTCAACTACTTATCGTATACAGACACAAAAAAACATATTAAAATCAATACATTCATCCGCTCAGAATCTAAAATTATAGTTACATAGATTAATATTTTATTGACACGTATTTTTAGTTAGAAAAGCTTCATTGATGTGGTTAAAAAATTCAAAAGTCATCTAAGTCCGGATCTTAGACATTATGAACTATTATAGTTATTATAATATTATAATAAGAACCCAGCTACTATATCATTATTGAATTAAAACTGCACAAGAAAAATAAAAAATATTATCGGTGTAAGATTTGTAACTAAACATTAATCATTTTGTGTTATATATCATTAGGTATAGGTATCTATATTAATAATATTATAATCGATGACCATGTTTAACTATTTTTTCATGATATCCAAAAAAATATAACAATGCCAATTATTAGTATTTAGCAATGTAGGTACCTAATACAATACAAAAAAAAGAATAGAAAATTCAATAAGTTTCCTATAAAGTACAGATATCACAATTATATATAATATCTGTATATTACAATTTTTCACGAAGTGTAAAGTTACCTTGAATCCTTTTAAAACTGAATCAAATATATTTTCTTACATTAAGAAGATAATATTATGCAAACCCCTACTGACACTTAGGTACCTACTTATTGTACCTACTAACTTTAATTATTATAAGTAAGCCATAACTTATAACAATGAAACAAGTAAATAAATGTTATTCATATAAAAAAAATTTCATTACCGTACTAATGAAAGGCAGTATAAACATCAGTGATGGCAATGAGGTCATTTTGTCTGGATATATCTATATATCAAAAAATAAATAAATATGCAAGGAAAGTTATAAACAATTATTAATAGATATAGTTAAAAAATTATTGCACACAACCACGCTGCTTGATTCCTTCCTGAGCACTGACGGGCGCCACTCCAGTGAAACTCCAGGTAACTGTTATGTGGGACTTCGGTGGAAAAGTCCATCATAATAGGAGTGGGGACAAACAATTTATTGTACCAGGATACATAGTAGTAGGATATAGGTAAAGGATATGGGAGAGAAATACCTACGTTAGACAATAGACATGGCTTATTGTACAAGGACATGATTTGTTCGAATATTGTCCTTCTAAATTGTTACTAAATTATTCATAGCCCTTTTAGTATGTAAAGTATAGGTAAAACAATTATTTTTGAATATTTGTAAAATTAATAATTAGCTACGTTAACTACCTGTCTATACCTATTTAAATATTAACAAGAAATCATAAACACAATACAATACATTCAGTTTGCCAGGATTATGTTTAAATTTTTTTCCAATATTAAGTAAAAATTATTTAAATTAAACTTATTGCACCGGCAATATTCGGGAACTACGTTTTTCAAAATAACCTTTAGCTATGGATATGGTTAGATATGGTTGGATAACCAGTCATTTGGAATGATTTCCCTATTATTATTTTCTTTATATTTTATTTCAAAATTTAACTTATAACTTTACCTAAAACTAACCTATTTTTCGGACTATGATGGCCAGGCGCGTATTTAAGTCGGGGCCACCGGGGCCCCCAAGTTATGTCTAAGTTGGGAGAACCACAGGACCTTTATTATGACATAAAAAAAAATACTGAAAATTTTTTTTTAAATTTATATTTATGTAGAAAATAATTTGATCTGAAATACGAAACGAAAAAAAATGTACAGTGGTAGCGTATAATATTATCTAATAATATACGTCACAGGTTTTTCAAACAGGCGGTTAGTTATAAATATAAACTATTCTAAGAATATTGTTTTTAAAGCAGCCACCATCATGTAAGCTTCGCAGCTCTATTATCTGTTTGTTATTATCTGTTTAATCTATTATGATTTGTACGTCGTTTGTCGTGTCGGGTTGTCTACTTACATACATATTAAATATATTTTAAAATTATTATTAGCTTACGAGTTTCTGTGTTAAAGGGGGCCTCTGTGGCACTGTATCTTATGGCCTTAGAGCCACCAAGTTCCTCACTACGCCACTAATGATGGGCGATAACTATTATTGACACCCCAGCCAATAATTGAAAATATAATGTGGTTAAGTGTTGCCCAGTTGCTAAGTATCTGATTGTACATTTAAAAATATAATATAACTGTAATATAAGTAGATTATTCAGTATTTTTTATAGTTTTATATACGGTACCTATAATTTTATATTTTATTCGACAAATAAAAATTTCATACTATAGAAATAGTATACCAAAAATGTTAAATTATTTAAAATTTATGATTAAACGATTTGAATATGAAATCTTTTTTATAATATAAGAAAAGTTCGATTAAAAGAAAATTGCTTACATTTCAGATTCTGCGCGGAGCAATGCATATAAATTGTACCTAGTACTCGGGCTGACGGTAGGGGCGTTCCCAAATTGCCTTCCATCTGACCCTCAAATTGCCTCCCGTGAATTTTTTTTTTCAAAAGATTACCCAAATTGCCTCTCGATTTAAAAAATATAACTCACTGGAATTGCCTCCTTGAGGGTCACTACCTACTCTTGTACTGGAATCGCCTGCGATACCTATAATTAATCGGTTTATAAATAAATGATGAAATAGATGAAATATAATTCTATCATGCAGTCAAAAACTTAAGTTTGTATAAAATAAATAATAATTAATAATATAACATAATATAATAATAAATAATAATTAATAATGTTAAAAATAATAATGACGAAATATCATTCTGTTATACAGTCAAAATCTTAAATTTGTATAAAATAAATAATATTTAATAATATAACATAATATAATAATATATAGCAATTAATAATATTAAAAATAATAATGACGAAATATCATTCTGTTAAAATAATTGTTTCAATAAAAAAAGTTAATAATGACGAAATATCATTTTGTTAAAATAATTATTTTAATAAATACTTAGATTTAATAAAATAGTTAATAATGACGAAAATATCATTCTGTTAAAATAAATGTTTTAATAAATAGTTTTAATTTGTTGCTCAGTACCTATCTGTCTGTTGATTTTTTGCTCCGAGTCTTTCGCACAATCGTAATTAAGTTTACTCTTTTCAAACTGGATTTTATTGTGTTGATCGGTTTTTAAATAAGCTGTACAGGTGTACTTTTCGTACACGTCCACCGTTTAATGTCATTAGCTAATTCTTTTTGGGTATTCAAACTTAAAACCATCACATATTATGATGGTTTTACCCTTTTCGCTGATCTCGCTGATGACGTTCATTTTTATAAAAATATATGTATATATATGTATACTATATAATAACGTGTTATTTATCGTGGTAGCGAAAACGAAACTGACTGTGTTGAACTGGTGATGATAGACTAACAACTCACAATCACTAATCGCGGATAAGATTATTGCATTCGAAAAATTAACACGTTGACTGCCACGAGCCCGCCGGCGTCCTAACACGGATATGTAATAGCGGAGCCATGGTATAAATAATAGGTTATTACTGTAATGTTCATGTGTGTATATATAGAAAGGAGAGTCTAATTATAACTTTGATTACACCGTTATTATTGGAAAAATCCCAATATTACGAATTTAAAATAAAAATAGTTAGGTCGCCGGCGGTCATCTGGCGTGATAATTATGTCGTATTACTATGACGCCGGATTGGTCGCCGGCTACCATAATAAATGTATAGATAATTTCTTGTTTATATTTGTCATTAATCGTTTATCAATCACGGCACGTGCTTGTCCTTGTTCGTTCTCAATATTACGTTTCGAGTGCTCTATTATTGTATTATAATGGATCAAAAGCAGATCGAAGATGCACTTGGTGATTCGGATTTTTCATTTTCGGATGCAAGTGCTGATGACAGCGATGGCGATCCTCTTTTTCAACTATCGGAAAGTGGTGATGAATCCAGTGGTGATGAATCCCTTCCAGTACAACTTAATGTTGATAATGATAATATATCATCAAACTGGTATCCTGTTACAGGTAATTACCAAAAATATTTTATTTTTGAAAACGATTACCCGTTACCTATAGAAATGTTAGCTAATAAAGAGCCATATGACTATTTTAAATTATTTCTTACTGACGATATACTAAACTGTATGGTCTTGGAAACCAATAGAAATGCTGAACAATATCTAAAAAGTATTAGACTGTCACGTAGTAGTAGATTCCATTCATGGGAACCCATAGTATTAGAGAATATGACGAAATTTATTGGATTATTACTTTGGATGGGTGTAGTAAAATATCCGAACATTGCTGATTACTGGAGTAAAGCGGAAAGATATGAAAATAGTGTAGCTCCAAAAATTATGAGCAGAAACAAATTTGAACTAATATTACGTTTCTGGCATTTTTCCGATAACGAAACAAGTGATAAGTCCGATCGTTTGTACAAAATAAGGAATATTCTTGATAAAATTAATTTCAATTTCGAACATGTCCGGGAAATACTGTCTTAAACATTTTATTTTTGAACATTACGGAATAATATAGGTAATAATCGATAGTAGGTACACGTACAGCTATTGATATATTAGTTAATAATCCAGGTAAGTGATGGGAGGCAATTCGAGTGTCACCGACGGTAGTATTGAAAATAATTGTCGGTATTACGGTATTGATTTCAATACCTGTTTGAAACGGTATAGGTACCAAAAAACCGAAGTGTTTCGGTATACCTAAATACCTATATGGTACGGTATACCGAAATAATAAATAAAATCTAACTAGTATTGATATTTTTTACTTTAATATTGTTTCACATTATATACTTTAATATACTATATATACTATAGGTAATATATAATATTATTATCTATATTATTTCCATTGATACTAGACAATTTAGACCGTTTTTTACGAAATAACCGTTTAGATGGTTTTTTACGGTATACCGTTTACCAACATTTAGCTGCCTTTTAATTTTACAATAATGCGTGTGTTTTTTCTGGTTTTTCACTTTTTAAAAGTATTTATTTAAAAAAAAAAAAATGCTTGGATGGTAGAAAAGTGAATATAGGTAGTTGGTAGTTTGGGAGGTCAAAAGTAAATGTGCCTAGTAATATTGTCCTATTAATTTGGAAAAACAAAAAACGAAAATCTTAACGTCAGATCAGTGCTTGACATAATTAGTTTTCTTAATTTGTTGTTATTCTAAAAGGATTACCATTTACCGTAGATACTTACATATTCACCAATCACCAAATATTTATATTATTTAAGTCCGTATAAATGTATAATAACACTCACGAATCCGAAAATATTAAATAGAATTTAACTACTTACTTTTGTTAGTTACGAATGACTTTTGTATTTTTTTTTTTATTTAATTTATTTATGTTTCTACAGATCTCGTAATCACATAAATCATACGTATTTTATAAATAACATTAAACTTAATTCAGTATTATTATAATCAAAGATCTAGGTATAACTTTAATTTTAGGGAACATATATTATTCAGTGTGTCTTAAACAAATATTTAAAAATATTAAGATTAATTAAGCGCCAGTGAGCCACTCTTCTAAATTCAATGACCCGAGATAATTAAAAGTCCTATATTTTGAGTTAGTTAGACCTAATTTAGAATATGGTTAACTTATCTGGTGTCCTGATTCTAAAATTGACATTGATCTTTTTGAACGTGTCCAAAATCGTTTCTCAGATTAGTAGCCTACACATTAAACATAGGTAGGTATCTATTAATAATCATGATTATTCACAAAATAGATCCTATATCAACATCTAAACGTAATAGGCTTTAGGTGTGAATTTTCTGACATCAATTTTATTTTAAAACTAATTAATGGAATCATATCTATGAAGCTAACCTAACCTAACCTATTAAGCTGTATCCTGTTTAATATTCCTTTTCATAATAAACGTCCCTTCTCCTTATTTTATATACCTACATTCAGCATAAATTGTTTGAAACTCCCGTCATCTGCAGATTTTTTCTTTTCGTCTATACATTAATTATTAAACATCTATATAAATAATGATATATAGGTACCTAATAGGTACTGAGAATTACAAATTAGTTTTTATTTTTAATCTATTGGATATATTTACTGTGCTTATTATTTATTGCAAGGTTGAGCATTAACGAGTTAAAAAGTTAAAGTTAAGTATAAAAGCTAATTTTATTTTAACTTTTTAACTTAACTAGTTACTTTTGGCTTTTCATTAGATAACTTACTAAATTTATTATTTTTTCGAAATTAACGAAATAACTTTTCATTTTAAGAAGAACCTAAGTTAAGTTAATTTATTAATTTGTTTTTAATTTAATAATTATATTTCACTATTTCAGTCTATTTCGTTTTCATGTCAAAAAATATTTAGCGTGAATTGTTCAAACTTAAAAATGTATATCACTCGAATCTAACTTATATGGAAATACTATAAAAAGTATAAACACTATAGTCTGTAGGTAGTCTATAATTTAGTGTTGGGTAAAAAATTAAGTACCTACGCTAGCGCTGTATAAACGAATTAACTATTTTTCAACTTAATAAAAAATTTAACAACAACTGTGTATTAAATTTTAATTTAACTGAGTTAACTTATAATTAAATTAACTTTTAACTTTTTGTTATTGATGCATATTAACTTAACTCAGTTAAAAAAAATCATTAACTTCCCCAGCCTTGATGCATTGTGTTTAAAGCTATACTCTGTACTATAAGTTGAGCTCACTCCCGTTTTATTCATATGAATAAATTATTATTATTATTTATAACTTAACAGAATTAAAGGAAAGTTAAGAGTACGTGGCCCCGCATGTATTGTCTCCGTCTTACACACGTACAAGTGTACAACATTGCAAATTTTCGTTAGCTAGTTTCAATAAGGTGCTGTCAGTATTGATATTAGAGTGAATTGACCTATTATCATCTTTTAAGTAAAATATTATTATATTAAAATGCTCATCATTTACTTAAAAAATTAAAATATGGTAAAAAATCGTGGAGAGAACACGGATAAATCAGATAATATTGTTACTTAAAAGTTATACCTATGTATAGATTTTTTGAGACTTGGAGGATGTTTATAGCTTGTTTTTCAATATAGTGTACCTAGGCCAGCTGGCTAAGAGGTCAATTACGGTCAGTCTAAGGTTGCTGACAGCGAATTGGTATGTAAAATAGTAGGTATAAAATCTGATAGTTCAACAAATATTATAAAGGCTGAAAAGGCAAAGTATGTCACCACTCTTTAAGTGCACCTATATTACTGTATTATGTTCCACATTTCAATAAACGATGCTACATAGCACCAAGTTTTTTGAAAACAAATCAATTCCCACATACAACGTAGGTTGATAACACGAAAATAAAAGGTATAATATGTGGCTTAAACCTATGGTTTTAGATAGGTGCCTCACAAAGTATAAATAAACAATCTAATAGGTAATTTAAGGTCTATGTGGAAAACACGTAATTGCAATTGAAATATCTTCTATCACTCGTTGAACCTATCTAATAAATAATTATATATTAGTAGGTACCTTGTACCTATAATATACTAAACACACATCATGTTTGATGTAGGTACCTATCCGTGTAGTATAGTAATATTTTTATGAATTGTTTTTAACGACATTTTACAATAAATTCCTCGAAAACTGTGCATTAATAAGGAAATAAATTATTTTTCATAAAATTTAATTTTGCCATTATATATAAACATAATGCAGTTTATAAAGGTAAGTGAATTCAAAATATTAAACGTAAATACGTAATTTAACATTTCATAAATACCTATATAAAAAAAAGGTAGGTACGTACCTAAAACCTAACTACTACTTACCTACGCAATAAATGGGTGTACATACCTATTTATAATCATATTAATACCTACTTAAATAATAGTAGTTACTACCCAAATGATTTGATGTGTCAACCACAATACTAGAAAAGCTGCATTCCTTATTTTGTTAGCCATGTAGGTACTATTACTATTTCAATATACAAATATCATTCATGTTTCTTCAGGTTCTCTTTTTTATCTATAATGAGTTCTTAAATTTGTTCATTTGCGATTTAAAATGTAAGTTTCAATATTTTTAAATTAAATAGTAGGTACCTAACAATAGTTTTTGGATGGAATTCGTATTACTTATGCAACTGCTATAATAACCAACGGAAAATATATTTCAGAAAGTAGTTTACGAATTTACCTACTACTAATACTCCTAAGTTTGGTTCTTAAAAAAATTTATTGCTACATAAGTAATTTATATTTTCATTTTTTCATTTTATTTTATGCTTAAATTTAATTTTAGGTATTGCAACTTACAAGTGAATCAGATTAATAAACACATTTTAAATACCTAGTTACCTAGTGGTACACCGGTAGCTACCATGCCAACATACCATAGAATAATAATTAGTAATTACTAATACCCTTATCTAATATATTATAGATACATCTAAAAATGAACAGTTAGTTTTGTAAGGAGAATTTCGTTAAGATATATTATCAATTCTTACCAATATTTTAATATTTTACCTTCCTAAGCAATAGATATAAATTTAATGTTATTACTTATAATTTTTATTGTATGACACACAGAGTTTTGAAAATATTCAACGACCTATCACTCATACAACTAAATTACTTTTAAAATATTACCATGCCACAGTCCTGACAAAGAATCTGATTGTGCTGAACATTGTTTAACGTAATGTAGCACATATATAGCCATAGGTAACTAGGTATATACCCTAGAAATTGATTTCACGGTTTTTATTCAATTTTAAGTGTAAATTTTATTCATGTGACTGATTTTAATAATTTGTCATGAGTAGGTAGTTTCGTAGTTTAATTACATGTTATTTTTACCTTTAGAGAGTCCTCGAGTGAATGCATAGCAATGTAAAATTTTAACCGAAATTTGTGAAGAGAAATGTAGTGGATATAACAAGTATCCGTTTCATGACTTTATGATTCAAGCTGTAACCCAAATAGAAAAACAGCCTTCTAATAAGGAGTACTTTGAACCAAAAGGATCACTCGATAAGCAAATTAAAATAGAAAATAAAAAAAATGATTGAGTTGTAATATGAACTATATGCTTATGAACAATTTGATTTGCAATAGTATATTATATAAATCTCAACAAAAACTCTTCGTAAATTACGTGTAAAAATGGTTAAGTAAAAAAAATATAAGATCACTATAAAGATGTGATATCATGAATAAATGCTAAGTATATTGAATTTAAGTAAACTTATTGTGTTTCAATAATGTATTTACTTTTCGAGGAATTATTTCTTAAAAGAAACAAAGTGTGATGAATAAAATAATTAAATGGCGTAGGACCATTAAAATATCACTTATTATTATTTTAAAAATATTATACCTACTATTCTAAATAATTCCTCACCAAGTAAATACATTATTGAAATACTATAAGTTTACTTAAATTCAATATACTTAGCATTTATTCTTTATA